TATGTGTATGTAAGTGTGTGTGTATGTATTTGTGTGTATGTATATGTGTGTATGTAAGTGTGTGTATGTGTATGTAAGTGTGTGTGTATGTATTTGTGTGTATGTATATGTGTGTATGTAAGTGTGTGTATGTGTATGTATTTGTGTGTATGTATATGTGTGTATGTAAGTGTGTGTATGTGTATGTAAGTGTGTGTGTATGTATTTGTGTGTATGTATATGTGTGTATGTAAGTGTGTGTATGTGTATGTAAGTGTGTGTGTATGTATTTGTGTGTATGTATATGTGTGTATGTAAGTGTGTGTATGTGTATGTAAGTGTGTGTGTATGTATTTGTGTGTATGTATATGTGTGTGTCCTTTCAAATGTAATAATAGTTAAGAATTAGTCGAAAATTTTAGTATTTATTATCTCTCTCTCTCTCTCTCTCTCTCTCTCTTAAAACTAATATAATATATTTTATACATTGAAATCATATTTTGTTGGCTAAATTGTAGTGAGAAATTGTATTTATTATATTTATTTTGTTGTGAATTGCGATCAATACACTGTAACAGTACTATTATCTAATAAATTGTGTTTAATATTGAAAACTAACATTGCTTTTAGTTTATTTTGTATAATATATACTATATATATATATACTGTATATATTTGACATTTTTTTGGACAGCTATGCCGTTGCTGAGATAACTGTGACGATAATAATCAAATATATATATATATATATATACTGTATATTGCATTTACTGTACAACCTAATAGTAAAATTTTATATTATATATAAATTTTTATGTGACAATGTAAGCAAATATAGTGTATATACAGTATATATAAATTAAATATACAATTGTATCTATAATTTGTATTAAATTTTTTGCATAATTGTATAATAAAACACTTGATATTATTATTTTTAGTTTGTCTTCAATAATAGTATAAATAATAATAAAACGTGATTTTCTTATAAAATGTATAAAATTTTCAATAATAATAATAATAATAAAATTGTAACTAAAAAAATACAATTATATTTTTTGTGAATAATATATATGTATATAAAATAATTTTTTATTTGAAATAATTAAATTCATAATATTTAATAATTTATGTTTAAAATTATTATTATTATTACGCTTTTTATTTGTTTGTTTTAATATATTAAAGTATTTTTTATTTTATTTTTTCTAATTATATAAATGCAAAATATGTTTTTAGTTTTATTTATATTTAGACTAATAATAATAATAATAATACTAAAAATTAATTTATTAGATATATTGTTAATAAAATTAGTATAAAATAATTTTTTTTAATAAACAAAAATATTATTTATGTGATAAATTGAAAATTTTAAACCTATATATATATATATATATATATTTTAATCAAAAATAATATTAGAAAAAAACAATACAATAAAATATAAAATAATATTTTTTTTTGATTGCAATTTTATTAAACTATACTATTTTTCATGTATATAACAAAATAATAATATATATATATATATATATAGTTTTTTATAAACACAGTTTGATAAATATAGTAGTGATAGATAAGTATATAAAAAACTAAAATCAAATAATAATAATAATAAATATAATAAAAAACATTTTCAACACATAATCTAATGGTATATAAACTACAGTACAGTATATATACTGTGTATATATATATATATCCAACTATTGACCGGATATTTCATAAGTCAAAGCAATATATTTTGTGTAAAATAAGTTTTTCAGTATATTTTTTTCATCACTAGATTTTTATTTATTTTTTGAGTTCACACATATGTTATGTGTGTTAGAAATCATATATAACTTATACACAAGATTTATATACACACAGTATATATAAACTAAAAAACTTTTTTATTTTTTTTTTATTTTGTAAACTTATATTTTTATAGAATATATATATATAAAATTTGAAATGTTTTTTGTTTGTTGTTTCTCAATATTATTATATTATTATTATTATTATTATTTGTTAAGTTGTATTGTATGTGCAAAACAATAGTCTCGCAAAAAAACAATACTCTCTCTCTCTCTCTCTCTCTCTTTCTCTCTCTCTCTCTCTCTCATCTGTATATGAAGTACACAATAAATCAAACGGTTTTTTTTGGCTTAAAGTTTGTTTTATTTTTTTGGTAGTTATTTAGCATTAGATTTGCACACAAACTCATACACAAACACACATATATTAAATGAGTGCCTTTTTATACGTATATATATATATATTATATACAGTATATACAACCCATTGATGATTGCTTATGGCATTGGATGAGAATATTAAGCAGCAATGGATATAATAATGAGTTGCCATTAATAATCTATATATATATATATAAACTTATGTACAGTTATAGTACAGCATACATATACATAGTAGCATATTACACAGTACACAGTATATTAGCATATATATGCTAAAATATATTTATATAAATTATATATATGTTATATATACAGTAGTAAATGTTTAACATTTAGATAGATAATAGTATATATTACTATACAAAATGCAGCTAAAATATACCGCTAATATAACACTATTCACGTATTCATTAGCCATACAGTATAGGCTATTAGGTATATATATATTATTGTAGATCCAAATGTATAGTAATTTTCGTAAATAAGATAAGATATGTTAGAGAGAGAGAGAGAGAGAGAGAGAGAGAGAGAGAGAGAGAGAGAGAGAGAGAGAGAGAGTTAATATATGCTATTTGACTAACAGTGCCCAATGTAATGGACAGTTGTTTGTTATATAAGACTATCTCTCTCTCTCTCTCTCTCTCTCTCTCTCTCTCTCTCTCTCTCTCTCTCTCTCTCTCTCTCTCTCTCTCTCTCTCTCTCTCTCTCTCTCTCTCTCTCTATTTCTCGTTGATGTCTATCTATGACTATACACTACTATAGCTTACTGTTAGAGCACATGTAGTAGTAATGATAGTAATAGTAAAAGTAAAAATATCTGTCAAATAATAAGCTAACAGTAGTTTAGTTTTTTTTCGGGCCGTAAAGGGATTCGCATTTGAATAACACATTTGTGATGTGTTTTTGTTGTTTTGTTTTTTGTTAGACTTATAACAACACTAACAATACTAACACCAAACAACAAACCCTACAAATGTATTGTTTGTCAGTTATAATAATAATTTGGTATATAATACACACAAACACACATACATATAAAGTATTACATTTAGTAGTATAGTATAGAAATGTTTTAGTAAAACAACAACAAAAAAATATTTAGTTTATTTGTATTTTAACAAAATCTAATGCAAATGTGTGAATATATATATATATACAATATATTTAGTATACTTATTATATATATATATATATATAAATATTGTTTGTATATATGCATTGAATGTAGACTACTATTAGTTTGTTGTTTAATAAAAAAAAATAGTCATAACATTATCAACAACAACATAGCGACCGGAATATATTATATCCACAAAAAAAAATAAAAATAAATGTTTTTATCATATTTTTTTGCAAACAAACAAACATTTTTTTTGCCACAAAAAAACAACAACAACATTAACTAATGATATTATTATTATTATATTTATCGGAAATACTAACCAAACAAATAAACATAACAACAAACAAAATATTTATTTATTTTTTTTTAAAATAAAGTATAGATGACTACTATGTGTGTGAAAATGGACATTAGTTTTAGTTTTTTAGTTATTTTTTTTGTTTGTTTTTTAAGTTTGTTTTTATTTCTAATGAAATTTTTTCCCCAAACATTGAGATTGAAAATAATCTCAAATATATACAGTATATATTAAATATATTTTATATATATATATATATATATTTATATATAGTATAATGTGCTATCATATTATAGCATTAAATTTTATGACACATATTTATAAAATACAGTTTATATAAGATATTTGTTTGTTTTTATATACGTTTTAAATAATCATTTTATTGTTATATATATATATATATATATATATACACAGTATATATATTTGATGCATGAAAACGACAACAATAGTAAACGTTTAAACATATTATGTAAATATAATATAAGATACAATATATATATATAATATATTGTTTTGTAGTAACAATTTAAAATTTGTCTCTTAAGTATATACAATATATACTGTATATATTATTATATATAAAGTTTATAATTTAAATATAACAATAAAATGAGAAAATCTTATTTAAAAAAGTCTTATATTTATATATATATTTAGGAGATTAGAGTAAATATAAGTAAATAATATTTCATCAGAAAATATTTTTCACTGTTTATATTATTATTATTATTATTACTATTAGTATTATTAGGAAAATAAATTAACTGTAAATGAAATATTCTTTAGAGAGAAATAAAATGCAATTAATTATATTTAGTATTATTATTATTATTATTAACATATTAGTAGTATTTAACATAAAACTTATTCAAACAAATTTTTTAAATATATAAGAAATTATTTGATTAATTTTTAAGGAAATACTATTAGTATTTTATATATTATTTATATATATATTTTTATAAATTAATTATTTAATATCCAGATGTTTATATATATTTTTTAAATATGTTTTTCCGATATTTATATTTATTATTGGTATATATATATATATATATATATATATATATATATATATATATATATTGTATATATCTTTATATAGTAAATGAGTGTCCAATTTGATATATATATATATATATATATATATATATATATTGTATTACTATTACTACTACTAATAGTAGTAGTAATAGTAGTAGTATTAGTCAACTCTATCGTTACACAGTTCAGTAAACTCCAGTTCCCTTTACTTACATATATATACAGTATATATATATATATATATATATATATATATAGAGAGAGAGAGAGAGAGAGAGAGAGAGAGAGAGAAAGAGAGAAACTATGAGAGAGGGAACGTAGCACAAAGAAAACTAGACGTAATTTATGTAAATAAAAAATTAATTTTTTAAATATAGTCCCCTCCTAATTCGATGCATAGCTCCATTCGGGATCTCCACATCTCGAAAGCTTTTTTATAGCGATCTTCAGAAATGGAGTGAAAATACTCCATCACCGCGCAGTCCAACTCTTCCTCTGTCTTAAATGCTTGTCCGCGAAGAAAATGCTTCAGACCACTAAACAACCAAAAGTCACACATTGCAAGGTCGGGAGAATATGGCGGGTGCGGTACAGTCTTGATATTATTTTTGGCCAAAAACTCTTGTGTCAGTTTTGCGGTATGAACTCTGCTGTTGTCGTGGTGCAGCAGCATTCCTTTTTTAGCAGATCCCTCAATGACTTTAGGAAGACATTGTGTGGTGTACCACAAAGCCGTGGCTGTCTTCTGTCCGCATAATTTTACCGCGGCCACCAAACCCGCCGTATTGAAAAATACGGCGTACATAACTTTTCCAATTGTTTTATCACGCTTGACAATATCGGGCGGTACCTCATCTTCAAACACAAATATCTTTGCTTCACGTGACAATTTTGGCTCATAATAGTGAACATATGTTTCATCACCTGTAGTGATCTTATCAATTAAAACATGTCCCTTATTCTTCCACATCTTTAGATTTTCTCGGCAGATGTTCACACGTTGTTGTTTTTGTTCATCCGATAGAAAGTGAGGAACAAACCGACATATATCAAATCAGTGCATATTTTTTGAAGTGTTGTGCGATGAATGCCTGACTTTTCCTCTAACTCACGGTATGTGATCCATGGATCTGCTCTTATTATCTTTTCGACAGCGGCCGCATTTTCAGGGGTCGATACAGTAACTTCCGGACCTTTTCTTTCGCCATCTTTGAGTGACTGTACACCGAGTTTGAAATGTCGGATATTTGGTGATTGTACTGTAAGCATATTATATCCATCATCCGACGATGAGAGAGAGAGAGAGAGAGAGATAATTAGATGAAAATCACAGGTTAAGGGTTTGATATGTAAACAATCAAAAGCACGTGTCAACCAATTTTTTATAATATACCGTTTAGGTGGCGCTATCTTCCCAAAAGACAAGCTGTATGTTTATGTTTATTTCACTTATATTAAACATACACACATATTAAAAAAACACCCGGTTCAATTTTGTCTATAATATCGTTTAAATGTCAAATCATTACTTGGAATAGCGTGGCTTCTCATAATATATATATCTCCCTGTGCTGTCCATTATATATATATATATATATATATATATATATATATATATATATATATATATATACAGTATATTTATTTATTTATTACTAACTCATGTTTTTGACACTAAATTATGCACTAATTGTTAGGCAAAAAAAACTAATAATAAATTGAATAATAATTTTTGCAGGCAATAGATGGGTTAAAATGGGCTAAATTATAGATAGTATAAATAGATAAATAAATAAATTATATATATATATATATATTAAATATGTATGTGTTTTACTTATTTATAAATGGCTATTATATATATATATATATATATATATTTACAATTAATTAAATAAACATATTTTTTTGTATAATTAGTTTTATGGAAATTTAAAATAATATATTTAAAATAATAAACTATAAAAAAATATTTATCATATATTTACTGCTAAATATATCAATTTATTTTAGTATAAACATTTGATGCACATATGGTTACAATTTATATTATATGTAAATATACTGTATATATATATACAGTATATATTTATATATATATAAAGTTATATAACCTTGTTTATTTTTTTTGAAAATTTATTATATTATAAATCTATAATTTTTGATGTTGTTGTGACTATTTTTATTGTGACAATTATTTTTTATAAATTGTTTTCTGCTAAATTATTACAACAACAAAAATGCAATCATAATTATTGTTGAAAAAAACGTCAAAACGAAAAAAAGTTTTTAAAATAATGTTTTCAAATATATATAGCGAGTATTATGAGTACTCAACCCAACCCTACACACAGATACATATACACACACACTTATACTAGTATATACATACAAAACTTTACATACATACACACATACATACAATCATATACATTGAGCTATTGATAAAAATAAAATATGTTTTGTGTTGATGTCATGAAGGACTGACTGTTTATTTTGTATAATAGCATTGAATAATTCATTTCCTCTTAAAATTAGTCAATAAGAGAGAGAAAGAGAGTGAGCATCCCTTTCCTTAACCCCTACACCTAAATACACATTCACTTAAAGTCATATAACTTACAGTGTTTTCCACTCTCAGTACTAATCCCTATATTGAATGCCATATATACTGTGTATATATAATATAAACTAATTGTTATTTTAATTGTATGTTATTTTTTCTATCTCTCTCTCTCTCTCTCTCTCTCTCTCTATATATATATATATATATATATATATATATATATATATATATATATATATATATATATATGTTTGCTATTTTCAATGCAAACCAGATGTTGATGTAGTAGTTGTTATTGTTGTTGTTTTTAGGGCCGGGAATAGAGGAATATTCTGTATATACAGTAATATATATAAATATACACAAAAATACAATAATTATATAAGTTATCTAAACTAATAAAATTATATATACAGTAATAATTTAATTAAAATAAAAATTATTATACAAATATACTACAGTATACGGTATATATAAATATTGCAAATATGTTATTATAAATTATGTTATATTACTATATATTAATAATATATATATAATTTTTTTGACTAATTTTAAAATTATCATTTAAATTCAATTAGCATTAAATATGATATTAATTTATAATCAATATTAACATAAATTATTAAAATAGTTTAGTAGTTATTAGTATCAAATAAAACACATGCTTGACTTGAACATCATATATACAATAATTGTGTAATTAATTAATTTTTATTTATTATTATTAGTATTATTTGAACATTTCATAGATAGCTAACACATACACACACACACACACACACACACACACACACACATACAATATCTATATATTATATAATAAAATCTAATAATAATATAATAAAAGCTTTAATTTTGTTTTGTTTTTTTCATCACTTGTTAAGAATGTGTCACTCAAATGGTATGGTATGTGAAAACATAGAGAGAGAGAGAGAGAGAGAGAGAGAGAGAGAGAGAGAGAGAGAGAGAGAGAGAGAGAGAGAGAGAGAGAGTACGGGATATAAGCAATAGTTTTATATATTATATATCATATAAATATATATTACTTATATATTATATATTGTATAAAACATGTCAAACAATATATGGCTAGACATTGTATGACAGCACCAGTTATTATGAGCTGTGAGTGTCTGTCTGTCTATATATATGTGTTGTTGTGATTGAAATAATTGTTAACTCAATTGTTATTTAATATTATAGATATGATATTATATAACATTTTCTCTCTCTCTTTCTCTCTCTCTTTCTCTCTCTCTCTTTCTCTCTATGTTTCATACAATTCAACACTTGTATAATAATAATAATAATAATACTGTATGTCATACAAAACAATAGCCTAACATAACATACACATTAGATAACAGGGTATTAATAATAATAATAATAACAAAAAAAAACTAAATATAAAATATAGTGATATAAATACAGTATATATATATATCTTAAATGTAACTGAAAAATAACAGCACAAAAAAAATGTATTATTTATAGAGATTTATATATATATATATGTTATATAATAATTTTTTTTTGTATTTATAAATAGCATTATTGTTTAGTTTTACTGATGTATAGTATTGTCAACACTTAGCAATTAAAATAGTGAGAGAGAGAGAGAGAGAGAGAGAGAGAGAGAGAGAGAGAGAGAGAGAGAGATCAACAACAATGATATTATACTGTATTATAAAATACATGAAATATAATTATCATTATTATTGTGATAAGTGTCACACAAATCATTAGACAACAACCCTTGAAAATAACAACTCATTTGCATTGTGTGTATGAATTGTTTCGCTCAAAAAAAAAGATGTTTAAAAATAGTCGCTTTTGTTTTCATTAGAAAAAATATTATTATTTTTTTTCTTCAATGTTTAAGATATTATCAGATGTTGTTTTAGTACTGTATATAAAAAATAATTTTTTTGTTAATTACAATTTTTTGTTGTATTATTTGTAATTTTTTTTTATTTATTTAAATATTATTTATTTATTAAAATTTAATGTTATAATTATAAAAGTTAAATAAAAGTTATATAATAAGCTATTTAAAAAAAAAAATTATTTTACCAATTGATTAATTATTTAGATTAATTATTTTACTATTTAAAAGATTTTATATTTAAAAAACAATTAAAAAAAATTTTTTTAAATCAATTTTTTAAGTATCATAATTAGTATTTTATTTTAAATGTTTTTCATTGCATACATATATTAGATGATAAAAACAATTTTAAGAAATATTGTATTCAACTGTATTTACTAAAATTAAATTATTTAATATAAATTATATAATTATTAATATATTTTTATTAAATTTTTTAATTTGCAATCTAAAAATTTTGAACAATTATTTTCAATGAGATATTATAATTATTTAAATTTATAAACTATTGATTACATTCCTCTCTCTCTCTCTCTCTCTCTCTCTCTCTCTCTCTCTCTCTCTCTCTCTTTCTCTAAAACACTCTTTGAAAATGAGATTATAATGCGATAGCAATGAGACGTTACTAATATTTTTAACAAAATAATAATTATTATTTTTTAAAAAATAAAACTACACTATATTTTTAAAAGCATTAATTACTTAAATAATACCCACAAAAAAATAAAAGTAATTTTCTAATGAAAAATCATTTCATGTATACATTACTGTAATAGTTTGTAACTAATTTTTGATTAGTTGTTTCAATATATATATATATATATATTGAATATATAAGTTATTTTTTCCAGTATTAATGAGATATAATTATATTTGAATTTAATGTCATTAAAAAAAATCTAAATAAATATAAAATTTTTAAAAGCAATTGAAAATTAGTTTTAATATTATTTAGTTGATATTTTTTTTTAAAAAAAGTAAATTAAAAACATTTATTTTATAACATTTAGTTTAAGTGTATGTGTTTTTGATAGCATTGTCTTATATCGTATATATATATATATATATATATATATATATATATATATATATATATATATTATATAATTAATATTATTATACATTATAACAACAACAACATATCGATTAGTGATTAGTATAGCCATTAAAATTAAGTGTTCAATTAAATTGTAATCAATTATTTTCAATGATTATATAATGTATTTTATTTTTATTTAAAAAAAATTAAAAACCCAAATTAGTATCTTAAATTAATTTATTTTAAAACTATAAAAAAACTATATAGAAACTTATTACTTAGAAAACTTTATAATTAAATAAAATTATTGTCTATTACTTGAAGTAGTAGACTGTATATACGGTATATACTGTACTGTATGTGTATATATATGTGTAAACGTGTAAACGTATATATATATATATATATRTGTGTGTGCATGTATGTGTGTGTGTGTGTATGTGTGTGCATATGTGTGTGTATGTGTGTGTATAT